CACCAATTAGAATTTGAACCCCTTTCCCGTTGTCGAACTCTATCCACTTTTTTCCTGGTCTCCAGGACTTTGGAACCAAGCCATAATGTTTCGTGGATAACTCCGCCCACTTCGGTGCATGCCCTGCCTATCGATAGCAGTTTAGCTCAGTTCCGTGACTGACCTCTATAAAAATTTTCTCCGGTTTCAGGGACTTCTTGCATCCGAGTTTTAAGTTCGGGGCAAACTCCGCTCACATTAGTGCACGCCCAACCCACCAAAGGCATTTGACTTCCCTTTTGTTGTCAGACTCGGCTTCACTCTGTCCCCGGTCGACAGGGTTTCTTGGGACCGGTTATAATGTTTCGTGGACAACTCCGCCCACATTTCTGCACGCTCTATACCCATAGATGTTGACCTCCCTTTCGTAGTTGAAAGCCTTTTCCCCGGTCTCTGGAACTTCTTTGAACCATTTTTAATTTTTAATTAATTATTTAATTACCATTTTTTTATACTTCTGTGCGCACCATGCCCACTTTTAACGTGTAGCCTCCCCTGCTTCTCTGAACTCTGTCCACCTTTTCCCGCTCTCCAAGACTTCGAATCCGAATCATCAGGGCGTGCAGAAAACGCTGACTATTTCAGGGCCGCTCCACCCATTGCAGGCGGGCCTCCGCTAACGTAATGTACGTTGGAAATACTAGACATTATTTCTCTTTACATTTTTTTTCCTGCTCTGTAGGCTCTCTCCAAACCGAGATCTCAAAAGCCTTGCTTTCTTAGAGAACGCCTCGCCCACTGGAGGTGAGCCTCCCTAATCCACTCTGGCTTCTTAATGCACACCTCTACTCACTTATTTCCTAGTATCCGGGTTGTTATGCCACTGAATTTGAAATATTGGTACAGCTCATTTTTGTGCACGCCATGCCCACACTGAGTGGATTCCGCCTAGCTGATGCATGTTTTGTACTTTTTTGAGACACTTGACCCTTCTAGGCGGATCCCTAGGAGTTAGGGAATTTTGTGACAGACATACAGAACGACAGACAGACGACAGACGTAGCGCTTTATATGTAGTAGGTGGGATGTTCAAAAAATGATTTGGTTCTGGCTGACCGATTGATTTGAATCTGCAATGTTGCCATATTAGGGGCTGGGACGACATGAGTCCTGTACGAAACCTATCATGCTTCATTTTACGCATTTGCCCAATTTCTCACCAAGATTTTTGTATACCTGCTCTAGGTCTTATATTATTTACATGACTGAAAAGGACGTAAATCACAAAATGATCAGGCAATGCTTTAACAATTTTGGTTCGTTTAATTCTAGTTTTCTTCTTGTTGCGAAACGAGTAGTAATCATCAGATAAAAATAGTAGAGGTACATACATACTGTGGTTGAAAGGTATGGGTAAAAAAATCAGGCAGGGTTGCTAAAAATGCTTTTGTCGTCCTCTGTAGCCAAAGTTAACGTTTTCTCCTTTCTTTGTTGCCACCACTACACTTCCTTATGGGTGAAACTGGCTATAGTTCTCCTGTATACTTCTAACTATATAATGAACAATCTACAACTGCTCGAATGATTTTTTTTCCTGTCCTTAATTCGAGTATTCGTAAATCATATCCGCCTACGTGAAGCGAAGGAGTCGTGCTCGCAAAATTGTGGTAGTCCAACGCTTCAAGAAGGTCCATTACGCACGCGGTCCTCAACGTGTTTATCGACAGGGCTCTTTTTGTCTTAAAGGACGAAGTTTGCGATGGAAAAGCAACCTGCATTTCAAATTGACGTAGAGATGGTGAAGTTAGTACGCAGAAAGGAAGCGAAACACGAAAAACGGCCAGAAACCGTAGAAATGGCGACCCTTATTTGGTCCGTGGATTTAGCATGAGGGGACTCTCACGTTTGCCCTCTTCAACCCTACGCCTCTCAGCTATCTAATTCACTCGCCACTAGTTCACTTACGGCGAGGATTAGACGATCGGTGGGCGGAAGATCGCCGAACTCGTCTAACTTTGAGCCATGCCTAGACCTCAGAGGTCAAATCTTTCGATGCGACTTGGCGGTCTGATCCGACCTCAAGTGATTCAGCTCTCCCCACGTAGGCGATTTCTCCCTTCTTCGACCTTTCGTTCTTTTCGCTGCAATCCCTCCTTTAAAGGAGGATTTCACGATTAGAATGAAGGTCGAGGAAAGGAAAACTGGCCTAGTTGAGGGACCCACGGACCTCCTGAGGGTGCGAACTGACGCGCAATTCGTATGGAAAAATTTGACCTCGGCGACCTATCATGCCTCAAAGCTGGCGGGTCTGGCGATCTCCGCCCACCGATCATCTGATCACTCGCCGTAGTTCAATACATGGTGAGTGATTAGATAGCTGAGAGAGCGTAGTGTTGGAGAGGGCAATGCGATGAGAGTCGCATCAATGCTCGAATCAACGGGCAAGGAAGGGGTACCATTTCTCGGGTTCTGGGCCGTTTCTCATGGTTCTTCCTTATTTCGTGTACCACTAACCATCCCTAGGTTAATTTGAAATGGGTTGCTTTTCCATCGTGAATTCGTCCTTTAATTAGTAATGGTGCCCTTTCACCATCAAGTGATTCTAGGAGAATATGCATGTGTGTTTAGGGTCGGGTCATACTTTGCGATCTTATGCATGCGATTTTGCGATCTTGCTTTGTTGTGCTATCATGAGATCACACAAGATCTGAGATCACATGTGCTATCGTGCGATGGCAGAATCGCATTGTCGTACGCACCTTCTCCACCCTCGAACTGCAAGAAACTGCAAGCATGAGGCGACCCCCACACTTTTCATTTTTTCCACGTGGATATGGTTGTAAGTTGCTGTGAAAATTCACGTTCTGAGTAAGCGGTGTCCACATCGCGATTGAATAGATAACCCGATAAGCTTAAATAATATTCTGCCTGGCTCCTGCCTCATTCCATGTGACGTTTGGCGTGACCCAACAACGAAAGTAATGTTGGTTATTCTACCGACCAGCACTCAATGGTTTACGATAGCATTGTTTCAGCGAACCTTCTGTTGCACATCCTATCAATCAGAACGAAAGCGTACCTGGTGTTCCGTCTACATCGGATGCAGAAGATGGGGAAGTATTGCCAACAACTCCGTCGCTTTCACCTGCGATTCAAGCTAATTGGACAAGTCAATTGAAAAATGATCTCGGAATCGGAATTGCAAGCCCAACACGTCAACAACAGTTTACCTCTGTACACTCTCTTACATCGGCTCCCGGTTGGTTATTTTTGCCAATAATGATAAATGATTCTGCTAAATTCATACTCTTTTACATGTTAGAGATTTACAGCTGGTGTTGAGTTTGTCACGGCAACAATTCCTCCTGGACTTTCCGATTATCACTTTGGATTTGTGGATGGACCGCAGAACACAGAAAACGCTTCGGCCGCCTCTGTGGCTAATGCGAATTCCGAAGTTTTATTCTCTTCTGGTCGAACTACAACGAATACAACCGGTGGAACGGTTCCTCAAAAAACCAATGAAGTAGGTTTCAATAATTAAGATAAAATCTGTTGGGTTGGAACATGTTACCGTAGCGTTTGCATTTGGCGCAGAACCTAAAACTAATCAACGATGTTTTCTTCGTCATTTTTAACGACTTTGATTTCACTTTGCAAGAATTCACTGAATTGTTGAAGCGTGAAATCAAAGAAAGAGGCTATGCTTATTTTGCGGGGTTCTTCTTTTCTCAGTTTGTACAACAGAAACATGTTCCATAATTGTGCGAAAGAGGTAGGGTCGATTAAATTATTCCCGGCCTTGGCGGTGGCAATTGCCGCCCAAATTCGGAGTTTTGCATTACCGCTGCCACAGCATCTTTTTGATACTCACTTTAGAGCTTACTTCAGACGGACTTTCCCTTTCTAATTATGCTTTTAACCCGCAATTTCAAAGGACAATGTTGTTCATTACCACAAGCTTTTTCGACATAACCCCGAAATTTAGATTTCTTTCATGATAAACTGCAAACTGTGGAAATTTTCACGGGCTAAACTTCGTTTTAGGGTTGTTTATGTAATTATTATAAGAAGCAAAAGCAAGGGGATTTTTTGCGGAAAGCAATTCACGGCTGAAAGGATTGAGGTTCAATGAGAACAATGGAGTCTGAATAACTTGCATTCGCTCTGGTGTGCGCTCGAAAAAAAAAACGCTATGATATTATGTTCCAGCCCAATAATAGGCATTGTCCACAGTTGATGATTTGATGCAACAACCTCGGATCAAAGGAGGAGTAACAGCGGTCGATGTTGAAATTGTGTATGGAGATTTGGGTGAAAATTGAAAGCAAATTCCTGCTGAAGTTCTCTAACGAAGGCTTTTTTCTTCCCTCTCTAATAGGGAAGAGGGCTACGTCGTTACCCACGTCGTGTGTCATGGGTGTGCGCGAGGTGTCTCGTCCATTAGCTCACATCCGTCATTAGCTCAATTTGTAAGAGCCATTGTCGCGCATTTTCGAACCTGAACCTCGAACAACGGCGCAGCAGTAGTACTCGTGGACAACTCTATTCTACCCATCGCATAGATTGCTCCACACAATCTCATCTGGGGTTGTTGCTTTAGGAGAATGGCGAGTAGGTGAGAAGGAAAAATGTGTAGATTAGGCAAATAGAATAGCGTGTATTGACTTGATGCCCTCCGTCTTCAAAGCCTGTTACTCGACATCTTGATCGCTTGATCTGTTTGGCAATTGATGCTTATTTTTCCTTCGCGCTTAATCGTCTAACAATAAGTCGTCAACTCTGAACAGTTCCTTATTGTAGGGTAGTTTTTTGTTGTTATGAAATAGCATTTATAGGGTGAACGTCCATTAAACGGTGATTTCTCGTTGAAGGCGTCTCCACCGATATCACATTCCTATGGGCAACAACAACAGCACAACACGAGGTCCTTATCGTATGCAGATCCGTCATCAGTGTCGTATGCGCCAACAACGCAACCAGACCGCGGAGTTGGATCCGGAAACAAACCGCCAGCACAGATGCATCATCCACCGCAACAATCGGCTGCCCATCAAGCACCGCAGCAGATGTTCCCCACTCAAATGCCGTACGGTTCATATCCATACATGAACATGAATATGTACAGTCCTGTAACAGGTGTTCGAGCCGAGGATCAATATGCTGCCCTCTACGCCGCTAGCATGCCGTTCGGTATGGGTGTCGACTTGTCAGCTATCTTGCCACCAACGACACCAATGTCTCAAGCTGGTGCTAATCAACAACATCCCGGATCTACCCAACATCGTTCGGATACGCACAATCTTGTCGATATGAACAAATTCGCATCGGGAAATACTAGAGATGGCAGCGGTCAGCAACCGTCCAACGTAGCTCCACCACCTGGTTTCGCGAATCCATCGTTTATGCCGCAACCAGGACTATCGTCTCTATTTTTACAACAACAATTTCCACCACATCCGTACTCGTTTATGATGCCAAATGTGGGATCAGGACGTCAGATGTATCCACAAGAAGACGATCGCAAATCATACGATAAGATGGGAGGAGCGAAACAAGCGCAAGCGACTCCTCCTCAACACTATCACAATGGTGGATATCTCAACAGCGGCCTCAATAAGAAGCCCTATAACTGGAACTCTTAACTGGTTGCACATGTTCTCAATCTCTCATATTTGTGTTAATAATAAAAATCGTTAACACTACCTTTATTTTTGTGAATTCGAGGTTTTCCATTCACATGTCTGAGTTTTCGGTTAACTTGGGAAGTTGTGGGAAGAGAAGCAAGTGTTCAGGAAATGTCAGCGCCTGTAGCGCTAGTAACCGGAGCCACTAGTTCTGTTGGGAAGGCTATTGTGCGTCGATTAGCATTCGCTGGACACAAGGTCGCAGCTGCTGACCAGTGTCCTAATGCTGTTAACGATGTAGCTGAAGATAATAAAAGGGTGCGTTGTGGTTTTTCATGAAATCCAGTTAGTTACGACCGTAGCGGCTGACCGACATTGTAATCCAGTAGAACGAGTTAGGTACCTATGAGGCATATTTTCGCTTGAATATTAGGAATTCTCGTTACAGCAGGGGACCCGTGATGACTATTACAGTCTTCTAGAATTTCTGGGTGACAAACTTCAGAGGGGTTAAACGGAGAAGTTCTGAGTGAATTGGTTAGTAAATTTGCAAGCTATTTGATTTTGGTAATGGTTAAAAAATTTCGGATAGAATGGTGCTATGCAGCAATGTGACCTTTTGCAAAACGAACCTCTCGGTCATTTCGTTTGCGAATTCTTTTTTTTTTGATTGAACTCTTCTGCAACGAAAATAATTGTGCAGTAATAGAATATGAGAACACTGCAGTGAATTATGTCGCTGTGTGTTCTTTTTCGTAGCCAGCAATTAAATTCCTTGAAGCATCTATAGTTGAAAGACAGTAGAGTATTTCGAGGATCGATGAGAAATTATCACTAAAGAGCCCGTATTCTTGTGTTCATGTAGTGTTGGCTCCTTTAGTGATTTGGTATGGAATTGTACGTCAAACTTGCACGGATCCCTCTTTATGATGCATTTTCGTGATTGATTTTCGGTGGGCACTTGATTGTTACAACTATTGGGTACAATTTTGCGTAAGGGTTCAACTTTTTTGGGTAGTTCAAAGAAGCTGCGGTCTCTTACTATGAAAAGAAGTGTAACCGTATGGCAAATGCGGAGGTGTCGATAATGATAATGCTTTCACCTACGGGTAGAGAGTAATTATGGTTTAGTAGTGCTTCTGTGTAACGCAGGAAATTATGAGAATTTTAGGAAGGGGCCAAGAATTATCTGAGGTATGCAGTTCTTTTGATGGTTCTTGCGCTTACTTCAAGAATTATCATATACCTCAGAAACAGAAACAAAATAACCACGTAGTATGTCTCTCCAAGTGGATTGAACACATGTTTTCTGGCTCGTAGTGGTGAGTCACAACTGACGCATGACTCATTTGAATTATGCGTTGTTCATGTGTCAGGCGATGATTGCAAGGGCAAACAATTCGAATATACGAGCTATCTGAACTTTCTTCTATGGTCCTGCTACTGATAGCTGAAGCTCAGACTATCAGGGTGCATTCAGAGTCGGTCATGCGATCGTAACGATCGTAACAAGCATAGCATCAGTTGCGTATCGATATTACGTACGTGCGACGATCTATATGTACCTAATGCTGTGCAACCTTTACGATCGGACGACCGACCATAGATGCGCCTTTGGAGAACGACACCTGACTCGGATCCAAGCTCAAAGGGGCCGTATGGTGAATGTGGGGATTGAAGTGCTGCCCGTCGTGCTGTCTGGACCAAGAAACGCAGGGTATGGCTAGTCTTATGACACGGCTGTGGTTCACCAGGAGAGAAAGCGATCTCTTTTCACGTTTCACACGCAAAACAGTTGTCGCTGTACGAACTCCAAGCCCGTTCATGATTAACGGTGGACCTAAGATTGATGCCGCAAAAAATTTCGCCCTGTGAAACGCGAAACACTCACTTTTTGTACCAGCGAACGACACCATTATGACATAACCCTGACTTCTTCAACCCTAGGATAGAATCAATGGTGGAGGACGCGTCCTCCTGGGGAAGGATAGGATACGGCCCATGGACACAAGAATCATGATGCAAGAAGTAGAGACAATCAGAGGATTTCCCGTTTCTTTGGACATGGTCCCCTCAACTCCCCTTCCCCTCCACTCTCTTCAAAGGTTTCGAAGGGAAAAGTGGGCGGAGTTCTGCTGTGCCGAATATTCTCCGATCGAATAGTGTAGAAACAGCCATAATGGTGAGGGCAGTGGTCGGACATGGGGAATGGGATGGGTCCTATCATATCGAAACATCCGGGAGGCGTAAATTTTCGAAATCCGTGCAAGGCACGGTTGACCCTTGTTGGAGACCTCACGCCCTCCCCCATCAGCATACGGCCCAGGGAAGATGGTGAGAGCCCTACAGGCTCTCACCATCTTCCCTAGGCAGGCGGGGAGAGGGATGCTCTGCACTGTGAGCCAACCACATTCTGAGAAATCCGAGAGTGTAAGATCACAGTAGTCATGAGCTGCTGTTCAGGCAAGAGAGCACAGGCGAGATCCGGATTGAGGCGGTTTCAAGAATCGGTTCTAGTACTTCGTAGAATATATCTGGCAGAGGGATCATGCAAACGAGATTAGAAAAATAGGAGAAGGAAAATGAAGTGTCTTTTGCGGGGAGAATTCTGCCATCTTCGCGAACTCAGAAATTTCGGCGCTTTTCCAGTTCAACGAAGGCAGGGCATCTGACGTCACGACTTTTGCCGTCTGAAATAATCCACTTTTTTCGAAGGATCGAAGTTACGGGGGTGTATGAAGGTGAAAGCGAAATTGTTCACACACCATGGAGTTTTCCTCCCCTGCGAAAAATTGAATTATTTTGGGCGAGGTGTCTGTTGCTGCGAAGTGCTTCCCCTGTTGCTGAAAGAGCGCCGAAATTTCTTTCGAAGACATTGTGCCACCACTTCACGAATATATTAAATGGAATACTTCCTATATCGAATCTTGCCCCGGTCAAATCGGCCTTCCCTCCAGGGTTGACTGGTTGGGATCAGATTGGTTTGGGTGATCAACGACATGCCGCTGATTTCGTCTATACAGTGACATATGCTTATGCTGCTCCCGCAAGTCACTGTAGGGGCGAAATACACTCGAACGGCATCATTACTCTAAATGAGATCCAAAGTGGAATGCGTGAGGCATCTCGAAATGAGGACCGATTACGAGAACTTTTTATGCCTTTGTATAAGAAGTTAGGATTCGGTTTGGTATGTGGTCCAGCATTGACGGTTTGTACGAGGTCAGATTAGTACTGATTCCCCATGTGCTTGCAGTATTTCTTGTATATTCAATGAGAACTGAAGGAATACTGAGCTGATTTGTGATGCTCTTTTTCATACCATGGAGTGACATCATGGAGTTGTCTTGTTATCTTAATAGTCTTGTGATAGAAACATCATTTCCGCCTTTTTGCCAGTTGTCCTAATGGGTATGCAGAAGATTCTATGTCACTGGCTGCTCTGAATCATGTTGTGATCTAAATAAGCAATTCCGTTTTCACTGTGTATTCTTGATTCAAACTGAAACAAAGACATAGTTCAGGTTGGCGGTAATGTGCTCGGTTTTTCCTTCAACATAGAAGACAAAGCCCACCGAAGCGAATTGTTGTCTCGGGTCTGTTTTTTATATGATTGGTATATCATATCGTTTGTCGAAGTATGATTTGAATAACATTTTATTACAGTTTATAGGTAGTGCAAGAAATGGGAGCACTGGATTCCGTGGTGATTGTGCCTCCAGACAATGACGTTCGTGGAGACATTATTGACACCGATATAAAGCATTTCGATAAGGTTTCTTTTTATCTTAGCCCTACATTCCTTGATGGGAATCTAACCAAGAAAGGCACGGCAAAGCTTCCCTGAGATAAGTAGCATTCGAAGCTACCCATGGACCAATTTTGAGACCAATCAATGATAGTGCAGTAGAAGGCGATGGTGGAGGGATGGAGGCGATTAATTAATGTCACACTTGTCTGAGGCAAAGGGTTACGGTGGTAGTTGTTATAGTGAAATGCGTGTTCAAACGCTGTGTTCGGCATGGAAGTCAAGTAGCGCACTCTAGAAAAATTCAACCTTTTTTTTGTACTTTCTAACTTTTGAAAGGTGTTCAATATTCTCATAAACAGAATAAAGGTTTTTTTCAGCTCTTCAATGATCGATTGACGATACCGTTTCGTTTGACTCAAGCTGCCCTTCCATTATTAGAAAAGTCAACAGTGAGTTAGCCTTGCAGCCTTGAATTCCCTTTATTTCTTTCTTTCTGCGAAGTCTATTTCAAGGTCTTTTATATCCATTTATGTCGTGTGAATATTAATTAATTTTTTCTATTTTTGGAACGGCTCCGTAGTGTATATCACATCTTGCGCTGGCTTCACTCCTGGTCTTGACATTGGATTGTTATCAGTGGCGGCAACAGCTGTTCTTGGTCTCACCAAGAACGTTGCTCTCAGTGCTGCTCGTCGTGGTGTCCGTGTAAACTCAGTGTGCTTCGGGATGGTTTGTTATTGTATTTATTTTTTACAACGCTGTGCAGTAGCACCTACTGAGTATTTCCAATGCTGCTTTTATTGGCTTCGGATAATACAGAATTTAGGTGGAAAACGATGGCACAGGTGCTTTTTGGGATACGCATAAGTCAGAAGAAGCTCTGCAAGAACTACAGTCCATGATTCCACTTGGACGATTAGGAAGACCATCTGATGCAGCATCCCTTGTCCAGTTCCTCATATCTTCTCGGGCAAGGTAATTCTCCATTTCAATCATCTTTTCCTTAGCGATAGTAAGCTTACCATTTCCGGAAAGGCTTGCCTTTCAGGTATATAACCGGTGAGAATTGTCTACTAAATGGTGGAGTATCTTTTAGATTGTAGGCAAGTTTACTCCTAGTTTATCACTTTGTATCGACTAGCAAGGATCAATTTTTATGTTGGTTAATGAAGCGTCTTCTTGGTTATGTGGTGAATACGAATGTGGATAATTATCCTTAATTTCTCTTGTTACATTTTTTCATAAGTTTTGATCTCATTGTTGTTCCAGCTAGTCATTATACTGGTATTGTTCGGCAGTTAGGGAGAGGATTGCGCTCATCTCTTTTTTAGTTTCGTGAAGACTACAAAATTTTCGCTCAGACAATAAATTTATGATAGCTCTAGCGCATACAAACCTTGTACCTTCCTACTCAGTAACAGAAAGATTCAATAGCTCGGCTTTTGTTCCGGATTCCAGTGGTTTTTGTTCAACTAACAGTGGTGGAGAATGTGAAGGCTACTGGATTTTGTACGCAAATGTTATACCGCATGGGGTAAGCTTTATTGGGCGTGCGTTTGCCGAGTATAAGAGCTGGTTAAGAATTATTGCTATCCGGCGATATTGCTGGGCTAAATTGCAAATTTTCATTAAGGTGTGGCTTTGGCCGGTCGTCGGGTCTGCCCGTTTCAAAATTTTCGCCCCCCCCCCCTTTTATTCACGGAAAGCTTGGTACTCCGCACACGTGGAAGGAATCACCCACTCCTTTCGCGACGACCCCTCTCTCTCACTACACAATAATACTCTCGGATGTGCAAATATTGTAGTTTTACCCATTCCGTAAACTTCTCCTAAAACTTCTTCAAACTCCGCTCTTTTTTCCGAACGGACTGTTGGTCCTGCTTACAGCCCAATGGTAGCCCTGGGTTCTGTTCGCTGGAACAGAGTTTCTTTCCCTCTTCTCGCAGCGCAAAAGTTTCCGCTGCATGAACTTAGGTCCACTACAGGTCAGGCGTGGACCTGGGGCTTTCCAGCGAAAAGTTTCGCGTCATAAACCAGTTCCAGGCTCGTTATGAAGTCATGCCAAAGTTAAACCAAAAATCCTTGCAAAATAACCAATTGGAAGTATCCATGGACAATTCTGTGCTCATACTGGACATGATATAATCGCGCTTAGTTTCGCACCTGGACACACGTTGAGCAGTATATCAATATCACCGTGCTTAAGCGTATGATCTCGCGACATTTTTCTGTGGCACACTCCAGCTGTCGTGTCGCAAGTCGCATATCGGCTGAAGAGTATGCTGGACGCCGTGCACGTCTTGTACAAAGCGTGAGAAAAGTCGCTGGTCAGACAGGTTAGGTCAGACGTATACGTAGGTTTAAAGCAGACAATTTTGCTACATGTATTTTTACATTTGATGGTTCGAAATTGATTTCAGACCGTGATCTGGTCATTTTACTAAAGGGATCTAAACGATATTACATCGCTCCAGATGTTCCGGGTTCATATCGCCAGTGTAGCCATTTTAGGTTAGTAATAAATTTTGCATTATTTGTATATCAACCACGATTCCCCTTCTTTTTGTAGATACCTTAGTGGAGTCACTGTACCGAACTGTTACTATCTTATTCACGCACCAAGGCGAGGAGGTCAACTGCGACCGATCCTGTTCATGAACAAGAGAAGTGATTATGAGGAACTATGGGAAGGTTGTCTTCCTGGCGAATCATCTCTAGAAATCACTGCTGGGTTTGAGGAGCTATTGCCAATTAGAAAGATTAATGAGGTGGGCTACCAAGAATAGAAGCCGTTCTTAACGTTGTATTTAAGGTTTGCTCATTCTCTTCTCTGTAGGTGGTAACGAAGATGGCATCATCAGAAGCCTCCTTATTTTTCGAGATGGATGATTGGGCAGGAACTGAGGTCGGAGCAGCCCGTTCACAATACGGAGCTTATCACTGTGTTAAAAATCATGTACGTTCAAAATTACGAGCTTATAGAAACGCCAAAAATTCTCAACCTCGTGACATAACCTGTCTTTGGCAGGTACCAGGCATTGTGACCAATTATTATCGGGTCGCGCTGTTCGTCAGCGGTTGGTTGCAAAGTTTGGCTCTTGCCAAAGGAAGCGGTCAACTCGGCGGTTGGCGTTGACGACATCGCTTGCAAAAAGTCGCGAGATCTGTGTACTATTTGACAAGTGAAAAATTCACAGTGAGACATACGGACGACCCATGGTGCAAGAATCCAATTTGGTTACTTCTGTACTCGGAAAGGCTTTGCCGCTCTTCAGAACGTTTGTGAAAGAACTGAAGATTATTCAGATCGATGAGTTACGTTTGGTGAAGTCTCCTATGGAAATTCAGTCAATGCGAGATGTCTGCACAATTGGATCTCAGGTGAGAATTGCAGTCTACCCCAGAACAGGCATTGCGTAAAACATCTGATTTTGAGGAGAAATGTGGCGAACTGCACTTTCTCCACAGTAATTTTGAAGCTGTTGTGTATGTGTAATAAAAGAAAGATAGCGAATGTTCGGTAAGAATGTCCGGCATAGCGTGCTTCTTCTTGGTTCCTCCAGGGCTTCATTGGTAGCAAGCAATGTGAAGCTATCGTTCGGAGGGTGACATTTAAAAAAAACCAGCGCTTTAGAGTCCCTCACTAATCACAATTCTGCGGCATAAATTCTTTCATAGTTCAATTATGTTTATTTATGATTTCACAGACTTCAACGGTTGTTCAGTATTAATGCTAATGAATACTCAGGTCGTCACATCAACAATAATAGGCTCTCGAGGTTTCGATAGCGAAGCTGCAATTGGAGGGTTGTTGGAATTTGAAGCAAAAAGGTATGACGGCGATTGACCTAGCAGTCGGGCACCGTAATGCTGAATGCTGTTTTCTTCAATCCAAGAGTTGTTTCAGGCCTTTTGATACACTATTTCGCCCTAAGACAACCGAATGAATTTAGACGTGGTGCCGAAATGCTGGCGTATCCCCCAGTGATTGCTGCCGGTGAACGTGCCAATACGATACACTATTTGGAAGCTAATCGAGGGATTGAAAAGAGGTAGTGTTTGGTTCCAAGCTAGCGTTGTGGTTTGCAGTTTCCAGTTTTGGAATAAACGAACCAAAAGAAATAGGCTGAAAATGTTACCCACGTTTGACCAATTTTTTTTGCGTTTGTGCTCATTATTTTTGTTTCTCTACTATTCTTGAAGGAACAGTTGTTGCTGTGATTTCGAACAAGCGGTTTTGCAAGCATTTCGAAGGTACTTCACTTTTCTTAGGATATTTGTTATAGCGATTGTATACTGATGGATGCTGGCTGTGATTTGAATGGGTATGTATCCGACATTACACGCTGTTTCCCAATTTCGGGAACTTTTTCACCTGCTCAACGAACATTGTACGATGCTCTTCTCTACGTGCACGAACAGTTGCTCTCGTATGCACATGACTCAGAAAAGGTCAGCCCAATTCTTGATTCCATGTTTTTTTTTGCTCCTGCAAAGGTTAGCTTTCACCACAGTTTCTTTCGTTATGAGTCCGAGCAAGCTTGAGCACTGGGTTAGAGAAAGGAGGAAGGGAGGATTTAACACCAGACAGAAAAGAAATCACTTATGCCACTCAATTTCGTCTTGGGTGATCCATTCCTGTTGCTATTGATAAAGCTGCCTTTGCCACCAACTTACATGTATAAACTTCGATGGAACTTTCAGATCCGCCTCAGTAATATATACAGCCGCATGGTGGAACTTTTAGCTAGCGCTATTCTTGAAATTGGCATGCTACCTCAGTCGACAGACAGGCAGAAACTGCTCAACGTAAGAAGCGTTTCATTAAAATCTAGTACTTTTGTGCTTTTGCTGATATGCTGGTGAAATTCAGGCTGCCGAATCATTATGTCCTCATCACGTAAGTCACTACCTCGGTATGGATGTCCATGACTGTGTTTCGATCTCTCGTAATATCGACATTCCTCACGGAACTGTGTTCACTATTGAGCCAGGTTTGTTACTTTTTAGAGGTTCCTATCAATTACATATGTTGTATTTTTGTCTTTGTTGGATCCAAAAAAGTTTGCTACTTCCAAAGATGAGAATTCATGGAGAGGCGAAAGGTCGCAACTGCTGCTTTGTTCCACTTTATTCTCGAAATTACTCATCAAAAAAATCTTCATTAAGGTCTCTATGTTCCTATGAACTCGCAGTTTCCTGAAGAATTCCATGGAATAGGTTTACGAATTGAGGACGACGTAGTGTCCACAGCCGAAGGAATAGAAGTACTATCAGAAGCAGTCCCACGTTCAGCTAGTGAAATTGAATACCTCATGCGATCTCAGTAGTTTTTTGTTTTGTGTGCTCAATTCAAAGATAAAGAGGAGTATCATTCACCTTTCTAAAACAACGACGGAGCTTGACGAACTAGTGTCAGTGCTACACATATTTTAAACTTGTGTTAATTTTGAGACTACTACGCATCACACTAATTCCCCAAGTCAATCCGGCGCACTTGTTGCATACCGCAATGAGCACATAGAAGAAGAGAAAGGAAGTGAAGGACTGGCTGCGGGAGAGGTTTTGGGTGTCACCTCCTTTATGCCGTGCACGAGCTGCCGCATTGTAACCACGTCCATGACCTCGAGTCAGATTGGGCGCGTCCCCGGAAAGTGACGTGGGCGCCATCGCAACTTGGGTGGAAAGTCGTGTTGAATAAGCGTTCTAATATACTTTACTGGGGTAACTCAGCACGCATCGCTAAGGAAGCAGCTTATTACGGCGGCCACTTTATCTAAAGTCGATGGTCGATACCCGCACTCAGTTCCCGTGAACACGCCCCAATCCAGACTTGGAGATAGATCCTGTACATGCAGATTTCGCACCGGATGATGCTTTGTTAACGCATAAACCCAGGTTGAAAGCCAGTCTATAGTAAATCACGTGATTAAAAATCTTCTCTATGCGTTATGGGTTGGAATAGACCCTCAGCGTGCTTGGGCGTGCGGCTGGGGCCGCCCCTTAATGCCCTTCCACCAATCGGCTTCAACGACGTCATCCAGCCATCCTGATCACTACGTCAACATGCCGGATGAAAATAGAAAAGAGTGATGAGAGTGTCTCGCTCCGCGCTAACAATCCCTTAAATTGCATTATTTGCCATATGGTTTGTTATTGTGTTCTTCGTATCATTGGGCCCTATATAAACCAATGCACCAATGATACGGGGCGCTTATTCATACGATCTAAGTTACGTTGATGAATCGCCAATAAATATTACAACACCACTGAACCTATACCGTATTCCCAAACAGAACGGGCAGAGAGGGAATGAGGCGGATCGACTTATTGCGGGAAGATGGCTCACGGGATAGGTGGGGGTAGAGGAGAGACGTTAAGTTCTTTTCCTGGGGTCAGGTTCCCAGAGTTGCGCGATTATTGAAACCTAAGGTTAAGCTTGGGTTTAGATTTAGGCTCACGATTACACATTTGCTCATGCTTCAGCCCATGACTGCGCCTAGGCTTAGTCCTAAGCTTGCTTAGAGCAAATGGGTGGTGTTTCAGTTTTAGATGACCTGACCTGAGGAGAAGAACTGCAACGCACCCGGAGGAGAGCGGAAATATCTGCCGCAATCCACTCATTTGTTGCCGCCAGACTTTAGGCTACGTTGACGCGACTGTTATAGACGGCGGATGGGCCGAACTCAGAGAAACATAGTGTGGTACAATGTTACTTTCCCATGCTTCTGCTTCTTCTTTGTGCCTTCCCTTTGGGACAGTTGCACAGTGCAGTTTCAGTGGGATTTCTCCTTGGCGCATACCGCAGGGGGACGGGTAGACGACAGGAGGCCCGTCGCCCGGCATCAAGGCAGCGGACGAGTCGCAGCGCGTACTGTAGTATTTCGCGTCGCTAAATAGAATGCACCATTGTACGTCCTACATCGCACATCACGTGCTGCGACTCGTCGTTCGGGTACCCGGTAGCTATGTTTTCGATTGTCTCCACAGCAATGAATTTTCCTAAAAATGTACCAATGAATTGTTAGCGATGTGGAAGATCCATTCCCAGAAAATTACATAACTTTAGCATTTATACCCAAATTCTTATCGTATCAAAATACCTCGACACAGCCATGCCCACAATAATTTCTTTCATGTCACATACGTTGTCATCTTAAAGGAAGTGGTCACGATAATTCCTATGGAGACAATAAGGAAAGTTAGGGGTGGTTTCAGTGGCAGTGGCGCCTTATCAGGCGTGATAAGGCGCCGGAATCCATCCCCGGATAGAAAAACATATCCGTACCGATGTGGAGGGGGTTGCAATTGGTGTGCGTCATATGGCACGATCCCATTAGTATTGGAGCGCACAGGCTGTAAGTACCACATCCTGCTGTGGCCGGACAACTCGTCCACGCAACACTTCTGTTCCGTTCCGCTCACCTTAGCATCAAGCTAACGAAGCTATCCGCTCTTTTTAAATCCCTGGGACTCAGCGAGATTTTTGAGACCCAAATTATACGTTCGATCAATTACAGATGTCTGGTAATTGAGTGATGCGGACGAGTTGTCCGACCGCAGCAGAAGGGGCATTTGCGGCCTGTGCGCCCCAAGCCAATAAGATCGCGCCATACGACGCGCCTCCCGTTGCAATGGCAGCTTGCTACATATGATACCGTTATCGTTATCGTCTGGTTTTCATTCTGAAATGCACCTCAATTTAAGTAGCCGTATCTTATCTTATGTTGTCGTATCTTCCATGGGGTTGCGCTCGTCCAATATTTATCTATCTCAGACCTTATGGGTCGATGACAGGGTAGCAGATCCACGTGGAAGCCGACGTGATCGCTTCTTTTGAATGAAGCGATGGCTCCGGGGACAGCTACAACTACGCGTTATCAGCCGAGTAAAGATGAAAGTTGAGTTGGACGACCCATGGAAGATACGATAAGATAAGAGAATAGGATACGGCTGCTTGGAATGAGGGGCACTCCAGAATGAAAATTGGACGATAACAACAGCGGTATCATATTATGAAGGCGCCCGTTGCAACCCCTTCCACGTCCTACACAGGTGGTACAGAATAAAAGAAGTGGGTTCCGGCGCCTTATTACGCCACTGATAAGGCGCCCTGCCCCTGAAGTGTCAACTGTCGGCTCATTGGGTAGGTCTCCTACCCATCCACTATGGAAGTTTCCCATTCGTCCTTATAGGACTTCTCTTGGCCACATTCGTTAATGCTGTTTGCTCACATACCTATCAATTCGCGAATGGCTTATTCAGGGATTTTGAATGTGTTAACTTCGTTGAACGAAGATGTCATCCAACAGAAGTAGTGTACCATGAAAATGTATGAAAATAGTGGAGTTTAATTACCTGGAGATCATTCTGAGTCGTTACGAGATTTTTACACTTTGGAATACCATGGTCCTAGTTGACAGTTCTCCCTTATTATGTTGCAAATTCGATTTCAGTTATCCTTGGCATAAGGTAAAGTTTGACAAATTTAACTGCGACACACGTACATCTATAGTGATAAGAGATTGTTAAAGGCAGACCCCGCGATTGGCCCGACTTGTAGGAAGTATACCGCGAGGGAAATTGTAAGTTTGTTGTAATTGTTAAAATTTACCTACCTAGATCATTCCGCTTCGCCGCAAAGGTTGCGCGGTTAGGCGCTAATCCTTACGGGCCTGAACCATCGATCCCCCCTTGCAACGCTTCCCACCCATCTCAATACTGGTGAGCCCCCTCGAGAACGGCGTGCTCTCTCGCATGTTTTGTCTTCTTTGACCGCCCCGCCTCGCCACCGTTCCACATCCGACCTTTTTGAAAGATAAGGCCTTAATTTCGGTGATCTCAAAATTCCCTTGGCTTTCCTTTCCACTTTCAGGCCGTACCGCAACTCAGTCGTCATTGCGAAGCGCTATTATCACCGGTTTTATTATATTAAAGAAGACTACCCTTACAGTGCACCGCAGCTGCTTACCGATTGATACATTTTACTTTCTCAATCCATCAAGTAACGCAAGTTGGTGTCCCCCACCGGGGGGCGGGGGCACTCCATTGCTATTTTATCCGTAGTACTAGAGAGCAGTTCTTTGGGCTATCGAACACTATGGATAAGATAATAAGTGAACGACTCATTTCGAGCGTACTTTTGATAAGGACCGTTGGATGTCCTACATTCCACACTACCTGCCCACATCGCATCCACTTTTTCNGTCACAGGTGATCCACCCCGGAGATCCTGTATCCTTAGCCATTTTTTTGGAGATTTTATGTTACTAAAGACGTTATACAAACGCCTCTTATACATTACACTTATCAGGTACTCATCACGAAGCTGGAAAGTCTAGCAATTCAAGTTATTGTGATCAGTACTGATGTACATTGTTACGCCGACATGTGATTATTATATGGCCTACCTCACACCATGTCCTGCGACTCGCCCACATAACACTGTAAGTAATAGACGGGCCTTTATTAACGCAAATGAAGGCACAACCAAAATTGGCGATGCTCGCCTCTAGCCCCTCCTATCAGTCGCTATTGTCATGTCCGTTATCAGTTCCTATCATATACTCACTTGTGTCCCACTTCCTACCCGCTCTCATAACCTAGAAGGCCCATAGACGCTATCATTGCTTGTGACTCGAGCTTCGAATCTTTCGTCAGACACTACAAACACACACCACGGACACTCACACCCCCTAATCTGCTTCGGGATTATACATCACAGCTGATTTTCAACCTGTCGTCCCGTTGATTCATCTAATTGCTCGACGGGCGCCAGCACCACGTTTTCCAATTCTACCCTGTCGCCGCGAAGAGTTGTCTACAGTGGCACCTCCTCTGCTCCGAGAACCGATCTCCTTCCATGTCCTTCCGTTCAGCAGCTTTCGTGAGCTTTCTGAAGGATAGTCGACACCATCGCCGGCGATCGTGCAGGTGTTCGTTTGACGCACCGAAGGATCCAGGTCGGCTAACCGCTCTGCGTCCAACGTAATCCCGCAGTAAATCCGCATGACGCGTGTGTCGGCCCAACCTTACTCTTCGATCCCTTGCGCGAACCAGCACGGCAGTCGCTACCCTGATCTTCTAATCTGTTGGCCGTAGTCGGAACTCTGGATCCGGATTCGACTTACCGCAGTTAGTCGGGGAGCGCGTGTAAGTTTACTTCGCTAGCAATCGTCCTCCATTGAAACGCCGTTGGGAACGATAACGCTGGACGTCGCATGCTCTGTCGTCCTGCATGCGCAAGGAGTCCCAGTCTCTGAGCGAGTTAGGCAGGAAGGACATTTAGCGGAAATTGAAGAGGTGGGGCACTGACCGGATGTTTCTTCGG